AACTTCCCAAGAGATCTATATTAAAGTTGTTTTCAAAAACAAAAGAAAAAAAGAAAAACTAAAATTATAAAATTAGATATCTAAAGTCCATATTTAAAAAAAAAAAACAACAAACCTCTCCCTGGTTGAGACTAATTAGCCATGGGTTAGCAGGAGAATCTCATAAGTGATTTTTCCACTGAGCACAGGGACTCTTGGGTCCCATTCTGTATTTGCACCAGAGTTGTCAGAGAAATCGCATTCAGATCTGAGATTGATCATGTCAAGATCTTATACAGAAGCCTCCAATGGCTCCCATGTCATCTGTGAGAGTTTTCGGTTTCCAGTTTTCTAACTGGACCAATTACAAAAGTTATCCCTCTGAAAACAGCAGGCTCTGTTCAACATGCTATGACTCATTCCAACCTTCTCTCCATAAAATCTGTGTTCACCTTGAGTACTTTCTCCCTTGAACATGTTTGTTTATTCTTTGTAAACAAAGAAAAATTTCTCTTTGCTTACCTATATATTTGGGGTAGATCTAACACTATGGGACATCTCATAACCCATTAAAAAGAGCATAATAAATCATTTCCCATTGACGGTGTTAGGGAAACAATGCCAGGGTCTACTCAGGACTGTGATTAGCTGGCACAAAGTAAAACAAGACACGTAAGTAGGCTTCTACCTTTCATTTGTTGGTTATGAGAACTATTTTGACTCTAACTGCTTAAAATGTAATATTATTGACTTCTCTAGTGAATTCTATATTATTTACTAACTTGAAGAAAGTTCAAATGAGCAGGATGATGAAAAGAAAATTTTGAGGGGACTTACTAAGTATTAGGTCTATGAATGCCTTTGACTTTAGTCATAATAATGTTTCCTCCATTTGCAGAGAAGATAATTAGCTGGCGACCCCAAATTACAACTAAACTACAAACTCCATAGTTCACTGCTTCATAGCATCCTCGTGGTCTCAATATTTTCAGTGTCTCTAGTCTGAGCAATAATAAAATAAAGTAAAAAAAATAAAACCCCTCTAAGAGTTCTGTTAATTAAGCCCAACAAATAACCCATTTGTGTGACCTAACTTAACATTACAATACCTATTTAATTATTTGAATCAATACAGACCACACTGATTCTGAAGAGGGCATTTTATCATATGGTGAACTACATGCTCTGCTTCACAAACACACCATGACATCCACACACATGTGCCAACCTAATGGTTAAACAGTGAAGTACCGCAGCCTGTATTTCTTATAAAAGCACAACTTCCATATTACCCTCAAAAATTGAAAATATCTTAGCATGCTCCAAAGCACTTTGGTACACAGTACGGGAGAGCTATAGTGAAATACAGACTTTTATCAAACCACTATCCTAAGCCCAAGTCCTTGCTCTGTTTTGAAATCACCATACATAACTAATCAAAGGAAGGAGGCCAATTATAAATATTTGTGTAGAGATAATTATAGAAAACAATTCTTTTATCTAATGTATATATTGCAACACCAAGATACCACTAAACAATTACACTTAATTCCCAATAGTAAATCTTTATGCTTTTACTCATCATAATTTCCAAGAGTAAATTAAAAAAAGTCTTAAGTGTGTTCTTGATCACCTTTACCTGCAGCTTCCTCATTTGTTAATCTATCTCCCTACTACATCTTATTTGTAATACTATCTCCAAAATCAGTCATCTATAATTATTCCCACATACTAAAGTACATATTCCCTACTAAATTCAAACACAATGGGGCTCTCTGTCTCTTTTTTGAACACTCACACTTGAACAATTGTCCTTTTTCTTGGTCTATTTAGTACCACATTTTAGGTGGCTTTGACTCATGGTTTCTTTGTTTAATATGGCAATCTAAAGCAGTGCTTAAAGGTTGTCAAGCACTGACTGAGAACCTGCATCCCTCTATGAGTCTGTGCTGATTATTAAGAGTTTGAGAGTATAAAATCTCAGGGTTACATGCGAAGCAATGTGTCTTTAGACAAAGGCACAAATGGAAATGGGGTATATATTGATGGTTTAAGTAAAATGGAACCAAAATGTCGCAAGAATCTAACCCTAACCCTGTCTTTCACCTCAAGGCACTGACTCAATCCTAATGAAGTCATTCAGAGAGAATGCTTAAACATGACTGCTGTGGATGGGGAATGGATGTGTGATGGTCACACTGGTTTTTGTATTTATTTCTCAGATGCCTTGTGAAGATAATGATTTTGTGTGTGTGTGTGTGTGTGTGTGTGTGTGTGTGTGTGTGTGTGTCCATCACAGAGGATATATTCATAAAAAAGCAAATGAACATCAGGCTCATAAAATAAGGGGAAAGTCCTGTTCCATAGCATGTGGGTGGTCTTGGAAAGTGAGGTTGGAACCTAGGAAACACAGGCATTGTCTACATCTGAGGGCTTCGTGGAACTACCCTTGAGCTTACATCACCATTGAATATGTACTGATTGTTGAGCAGTGAGGTGATGAAGAATTTGACTCACCATGGTCCTTTCTAGTCATCCCTCATTTAAATGATTCTAAAGAGATTTATTTCTTTTGGGAAGTATAATCAGCAGTTTGGGAGGAGGTTAAACAGTCATGTCAGCTGTCCAGAAAAGCACCCCCAAGCCATTACTCTTTCTTAATCTTATACAATAGAATTTTCTAAGTTGTATAGACTTAGAAATTATATTAAACATATAGACAATAATTATATTAAAGAAGAAATCATAAAATTCCTTAAACACAAAGGAAGCCATTTGTGTGTTGAATAGATAAAGTCTTTAAAAATAGTAGTTTATGTGCACTGTACATTTCTCTTTTGCCAAATTGTAAGCATTTGTTTTTTTTTTTTTTTTTCAAAATGTTGATAGGGGAGAAATGACACTCTCTGTGATGACGATATGGCATTTTATCTAAAATTGTGGATGTTTTATGGTTCATGAGTGAAAAATGAATGAGGGCTATAAACCTCCTCAGCCTCTTAGATAAATGGTTGTCAGAAAAATGTGAAGGCTAACAAAGCAGGAAAATGGCCTAAGAGGGAATGCGTGTGTGTCTTGAGGGTTATAGTGGGGGTGAGTTCAGAACACTTGGCAAACATAACTCTCGAGGTGGGTTACCGTATTTCACAAGTTAGCACAGCATGGGGAAATGTCTTTAAAGCTCACTGTCATTTCCCGCCCTACTCTAATTCTCGTATCCTTTTTGCTCTGGCATCTTTCAGTCTCCTGAGTTTGGTCACTGACGTTCTCACCTCTCTATCTCTCACTCCCTCCTTCCCCCTCCCTCTCATGCTCCCTTGCTCTGTTCATCTTTCTCTCTTTCAGCATATGCCAAACAATAAAACCCAACCAAGGGGAGAAGAGAGCCGTCTCTCCCAGAAACTGATAATCTAAAGAAGGTAAGAGTCGTAAAAGGAAATAGTGTGATAAATACTGTATTCAAGCAGAGTCTCTTATAGGTGTTCAAGGAAGGGAGTCATTATTATGCAAAGTACATATGGGGAATGAATGGTTAGCCAAATCTTGAAAGATGGTCAGAGTGTCACAGTTATAAAAATGGGTGAATTAAAAGCAGAAGAAATTCAAGCCCCCTAAGTTCAAACTTGAACTCTATATGTTTAAGTATAATTAATATGACCTAATCAATTATACTGAATGTTATAGCCTTTGAAAATTGATTTCTTCGTCAGTTAGTTCCAGAAACAGCCCTGTAGTTTGTAATTAATAGCTCTGTAAACCTACTGGGTGCTTTAAATGAGACTGCAAATGAGGCGAAGCATCCTAAAATAGTAACATCATGGATACATCTTGCTAAAGAAAATATTATAATTTATTTCATTTACTACGCCTAAAAACTATTTTTTATTTATTAGTATAGATATTTGCCTGTCCAACTGCATGCATTCCATTTGTGTGTGTTGCCTTAAGAAGCTAGGAATGGGAATCTCATCACGTGATTAAAACAGGAATTAACAATCATCTGTGAACCACCCATTAAGGATGCTGGGAACTGAACCCAATGTCTTCTGAGAGCACAGCAAGTGCTCTTAGCCATTGAGGCATCTGTCTAGTCCCTCATATGCTATGTTTTACTCTTGAGTATATGTAATCAACTTTTTAAAATAATAAAAAATTTTAATCTCACGATTATATTCATCATTATTTGCTTGGGATGACACTACAGAAGTTTATCTCTCAAATTAATTTGAATTGATACATATTTGCTTTCAAGCATGCTTCTATGTGTGTATGTATAGTTTACTTGAAGAAAAATCTCCATTACTAATGAAATTGCTTCAACAATACTGTATTAAGTGGTTAGTAAGGTAAGAAGTCACAAACTGAAGTAAAACCTACAATGTCATAAAATATAGCAGCTAAATTGTATGAAACAAGTTACAGGTCTTAGAGATAGATTCACTCATATTTTGGATAGATAGAACAAGTTACAGATGATACAGCATTAAGTTTAAAGCCAACTATAGGTGTACCTTCTAGGTTTGCAGTACGGTTGATTATTTAGACAATAATTGTGAAAACTCATACATACTTGACATAAAAATGTAGGTAAAGAAAGCTAATGATGTAGGTGATGGGAGGAGCTTTCACATAAGATTATCTGGATATATGCATGATAAACACTAATTATGTTGTTGCTATATTAACACTACTAAGGTGAAAATGCTTCACTCCTTAACAATTCATGATTCTTGGGTAATCCTGGTATGAAGATGCTATAAGCAAAGGGCACAAATGGGAAGTAGCAGTGATCTGCCACATTATATTAAACTTAGAGAAGAAAATGTATTCCAGAATGAGCCAGAGCATAATATATCAGAACATTCAGTACTGAGTTGGGCTTGTTAGAACTCACTCATCCATTCATATGTAAAAGGCCCATATGATATGAAAGAGATCAAACATCTTCACAGATTACATTGAGCAATTAAAAGTGAAGATGACCTTAAACTTCTTGGGGATTCTCTAGACGCCTCACATACCCTGATCATCAGCACAGCCTTTCTGATGTCCCGAACACCATCATACACCAGGCGCGAGGCATCGATGAACTCATTCTCCTCAAATGGTTGAGGGACATTGGCACTCAGGGCTTCGATGGCAACCTCAACTTGTTCAGCAAAGCGTGGCATCACTGGGTAAATGAAGAAAACAACAACAGATCAGAGAGTTTTTCTTGTTGTCTATCATTCCAGTCTTTGAACAAAGTTAATGGTAGGTCTTTTGGTCCAGGTCTGAATAGGTCTGATTTAGACATCTTGTCACTTCAATAGAAGGAAGCAAACTGTTACTTCATGCAAGGTAATAGTTGAAAGAAAGAAAGAAAGAAAGAAAGAAAGAAAGAAAGAAAGAAAGAAAGAAAGGAAAGAAGGAAGGAAGAAAAGAAAATGAAACTTATGACAGCCATCCAAGATGATGCAGGATAGCAGAGGGGTATAAATTTCACATTTATTGTAACCTGAGTTGAGTTTCACTTTTGCTAACTCCCACTCATGAAAATTTACCCAAATTTTCTTAATTCGTTGAAGCATGCTTCTTTGCCTATGATAGTTGGATTCAGTATTGTAATTCACACAAAACCATCCATCTAAATTGACCTCAGAAAATATCAACAAACATCTAATTACAACCAAAAATTATAAACATATCCAGTCTATAGCAAACAATTGGATGGAAATGTGGAAATTAAGAAATAAGAAGATAAGAAAGGAGTGATGCTATGAAAGGAACATCTAAGAGAACACGGGAAATGGGACTAACTCAACAGAAAGATTATAGAAAAGATCAACAAGCTTAAGGAAATTTGTCCTATTTTATCAGTATCACCTTGGTATGCATGGTAAGTTCCTGAAAGGCTGATACCTCCTTCTCATGGAACAAATTTATGTACACACACACACACACACACACACACACACACACACACACACACACACACACACAAGGGAAAGCTGTCTGGAATATCTGGACTATTTCTACAGATTCTGGAAAAGAAAATGGTGCTGACTTTTTGACTCTTAAAAATCATAATTCAATTTTCAAAGCAGTTATCACATAGCAACCCATTCCTATGGCAGGTGGAAGCCAAAAGCACAACTCACTTTATTTACAAGAACAATAAAATAGAAGCATCATTTGTCTGCATCCATTTCACGTTTTTCATGCCTGGTTCATCTTTATTCTCATTTTCACCCTCTTGGATACTTTCACATTCATTTTAATCCCTGGTGTGAGAAATTCTGCTCTATTACTCTCTGGGATCAGAGTTCCCAAGGCACACAATTCCTAGAGAAATGCACTTGTACTAGAAAAAGTTTAATGATTTTATTTAGAATGAGAGGAGAGATGGGGGCATAAACGTTCTTGCAACAAGAACTATCAAAACCAAGGTGTGAATTGGGCAATTGCCATTTCTCACGTAAATAACGAGGATTAGTGAGTGCTCTATACCACCTGAGCTTTTCCACAGAGCCACTGAGATGCATCTACATGGAACCGATGGATTCTGGGGCCATTTAGTTCTATTACTATAACTGTGAATTGAAACTGAAGTGATTGGCATTTTAATTATCCTCATTTGGTCAATAAAAATGCATGTATGTATCAGAACATCACACTATGCCCCATAAATATGCATAATTATCCCATGTCAACTCAACATAAAACTCTATAAGACCTTTTATTTCTATTGCCTAGACATTAAACCTGTGTTCTTTCAGCTACCCCTCTGTGTTGAGGATGAACAGTTTATGGAACTGAAAAATGCAGATAATTGGAATTGACCTTGTTGAGTATGAGAATATTTTTGTACGTATTTGACATTTAGAAATGAATGTTTTACTTAAATAAAACCATAACTTTCTTTGGCAGAAAGTTCGAGTTACACTGATTCCACTTTATTTGATATTTAAACTGGCAATGTTTGTGATTATAGATGACTTTACGGATTTATATTCAGCTGCCAGTCGTACTTAGGCATATAAAATTTCCCTCATTTTCAGGATGGTAAAATTGCTTTGTGGGAAAAGGCACCTCCTGCCAGGCTTGACAAAACTCAAGTTTAAGTCACAGGACTTACATAGTAGAAGGAGAAAAGCAGTTCTTGCAAGCTGCCCTCTAACCTCCACATACATGTTGTAGCATGTGCATGTACAGACATGCACACAATAAAGAATACATAAGATATAATTTTTAAAATCCATTACTCTATTACATCTCTGATGAAAATTCAGAACTGTTACATGTAAGTAGGATACATACTACAAATTGCCAGAAAAAAAAATGATGAGCAAATTAACAGGAAATGATTGTATATGACTGATGAATACAAAATCATATGTTTGATATCATTAATTGAAAGCAGCAATAACATATCATTCCATACTTAAGATCCACAAGCAATGGGAAGCATGGTAGTCCTATGAAAATGTGGACAGAAGAAAACACAGCTACTGTAGTTGGGACTAAAAATAACAATGCATCTTCTTGGCCACCACTACTATGAAATATGGTAAATGGCTCTTTTCACTCCCAAGCAGGTGATTGGGTCATAATCTAGGGTGTGGTCAAATATCAACTTCTATAAAGATGCTGACTATGAAAGCTGATCAATCTAACTTTGTAGTCACAAGAAATCCCTTTGAATCTCTGTGTTTGTGGCTGCATCTGTTTATGTCTAGTATTCTAAGAGTTGAGAAGCAGAACTTAGACAATAACTGAAAATGGCCACAGATTTATTCTGATGTATCCAACCAGACTTATTTTGATGGGAAGAGGAAGTGCATAATTTAAGAATGCATGTATTTCTATGAAGATAATATCTGATATATTAGCCTCCGTTCTTGAATATTTGGATCCTTTTTAGTTCAAACATTTCTAAAGGAGTTAAAAGTTATTCTGTAAATCATATATTTCTTTGTGGAATTAGGCTCTGAAAAAACTAAAATTCTATCTTATGACCCACAACCTAACACAAACAGTCTGATCAAAGGTATTAAAGTGAGGAAGTCGCTGGGGAATTGTGAAGGAACCATTGTGCAGCTTTCCATGTTAAATGTTGTAGCCAACATTTAAGTTGGTTAAGTTAAGCAGTGCATACCACTTAGACTCCAACGTCCAGGAACACATCTCTGTCTGCACAATTATCATTTCCAAGTCTAATGGGGGCAAGGCAAGGGAATGTGTCCCTTTGTGCAAAGTTATCCCTAAGAAATAATGGAAGCAAGAAAACAAACTGATGACAGGACTTGCTCTAGCTACCTTCAGACGGAAAGGAGACAGAAAAATGATACAATGTAAATGAGCTACTTCGTAGCATTTATTATTTTTTTTGTATTTTGAGATTATATCATTTCTCACTTTCCATTCCTCTCTTCAAACACTTCCAAATAACCCTGCTTGCTCTCTTACAAATTCAGGGCCTCCTTTTCATTAATTGTTGTTACACACACACACTCACACACACACACACACACACACACACACACACACACACCCTCCTAATTATATAATTAAAACCTAGAAATATGAAGAGCTATATTCAAAATGTCTCCCTAAACTTGTAAATCAGCTCATGGTATCTAAACATGAACTGAGCAAGAACAACAATAAACTTGCTAAAGTGGGAAAAAAAAACCTGGAGTCTGCAACCCTATACAAAGAACTACAGGCAACTAAGAAATGCTGAGAGAGGGAGAAAGAGTTCTCCCCAGGCAAGAGCTCACGAATTGGTTATCTAACACTGGGTGGTGTGCCCTGGAAACATACATAGGAAGTAGCATTCTAAAGGCACTACTTTTAATGAGGGCTACTCTTTAAAAGGCTGTTCTACTTGGACCAGCATGGGATAAGAAATCTCTCTTGTGAGACTTAGCTGGTAGAACCCTGGAGTGAAGGACCATGTTACTGGCCCTGGTATCATCAGAAAGAGGTGCTTTTTAGGAAAGTCGGTTTTTCAAGACGCCAGTAGTTAGGGTGACAGCAAGAACTGCTTTCTTTGTGCTTCGTTCCTAAGTTTATACACTCGGGGCTGGACCGGTTGCTATGTCTCTTCAACCCAGTTCTGCTCATTCCACTGTTCCTCCCTCCTGCTTTGCTTTCCTCCTGCTTTATTTAAAGCCCTGAGTCATGAAAGCAAAGGTTTAATAGAACAATGACCCATGATGGCTGGACCTGAGCTTCTCAGTTTAACTATGAACCCTTAAAATAGCTTGATAATGTCTAAAACACATCCTTCCTCTAAAATATTGACAGGAAAAAAAATAGTCAAATGCTGGCCTCACTTCTCCTTAATTAGGACAAGGTTTAACACTGCCTTTGTGATTCTCACTTCATGTATCAACAAAGTTGCTGATGTGGGTTTATATAATTAGAGGCTTTTTTCTTTGTGTATCGCACCCAAAAATGTAGACGCTACTTTGCAAGTATTTATCAGCATGTTGAACTGCTCTTAATAGCTTGTGCCCTGAAAGGGTGATCAAAGTTAGAAGTAAACTTACATCCTAACTATATTTTTGTATGCACATTGCATACTGGGCTGCAAAATGACCTTCTAAGAGGAATTAGTTGAAGTTTATATTGCATATAAAAATCAAGGTCATACTATTCTAGTGGCAATTGAGATCGAAACCATGGGTGGGTGAGGATTTTGGAAATGAATCTTCCCAAGAGACTCCAGAGGTGAAGTTTCAGAGCTCAGGGTGATTCAGTTTACAGGAATGACAAGCTGTGCTACAGTGCAAATGTGAGTGCCAGCCATGAGGGAAAAGAACAAGGTTAGCTGGATGTGAGGGAGGAGCATAGACAGGCTGCCCAGTGTTTCTGAGGAAGTAAGCAAACTCAAGCCTTAGGCTTTCCAGTGATCCCCAGGGATGTAAATGTATCTAAGACCCTGATGCCTGGATACTGTTGACTTCCTTTTCTGGTTTGGACACATGACATAGCCCTACTCAAATCCAAATGTCACAATTAGACTGAGTTATCCCTGTTTCCAAATAGGACATGGTGTCGAGGATGAGGGCTCTGGGGTGCAGGGAGTGGAGTCATGCTGCTGATCTGCGCACGTGAATTTGTTATTTCAAATAGAAATGCATAGTCTTCCTTCTCCTCTGTTAGGTGACTGCCTCCTCAACTTTC